CCGGGCCGGAGGGGCCGAGACGGGACGGCCAGCGCGGCCGCTCCGCGGCGGGCTCCGCTCGGCCCGCACCGAAACCGCGTCGGGGTTCCCCCACCGGGTCCAGCGATCAGAGCTTTGGGAACCGACTCTAACCCGAGACACACGTCTATATGAAATACCGAGACGTTTGCCACGGGCACGCAGGAAGCTGGAGGCAGGCAGCACGGAGCATCAGATTTGCTCTCCAAAACGTCCCCGCGCTCAGCCAGGAGCCGCGGCTGGAAGGAGAAGGGGGCGGCAGCGAGAGAGGGGGCCCGGCGCTGCAGCTTCCCGTTTGGCCAAAGCGGAGCAGAGGCAATGAACTAACTCCTTGGCAGCTCTGCTGTAACTTCGGATTAGAGGAAACTCCGCGGTGGAAAAGTGAAACCTGCACGTGCTACCAATGCCAGAAGGGCAAGGCTTTCAGATATTTTTCCTAGCAGATAATACTGTGGGGATAGGGAATTAAAGTTGGAAAACAGAACAGTAATTTAATTCAAGCAGACATATACTCCTCAAGCACGTATGGAAACCTCAGCATCAAAATGAAGTAATCTACTGATTTAGAACCCACTCCTGATTAAAAAATGGAGTAGTATGAAAAACAGTTTTTAAATCTAACTTTGAAAAGCTGTTATGGTAACATCGTTTGTGCTAAAATGAATGCAAAGACAATGAAATGACTTCAGAAGGTATAATTCATTTTAGGTTAACCATTAAAGCTAAGAATAGCAGCAAAAACATTTCCAGAAACCCAGCATAGTTGCCCTTAGTTTATAACATACAACAAACTCATTTTTCAGGATTGGATGTGTACCGCATATTCTTTTCTCCTAGAATACCCACAAAACTAAGATTATTTTATTATCTATGTAACTATTATCTATGTGACTATTTTAAATAGAGAAGTGGATGATATCAAGAAAGAATAATTCATACTGAACATGACAGTTAATATTGGAAGACAAAAGTTAGAAGAATCTGAATCGATTGTAACCTGTGGTCCTTGCAAACTCATTTCCTACTGCAAGTGTCTGGCTCAACCGAACTCTGAGGTTCAGCATCTGACAGGTGATGTGCAGAACTCCAGGACCATGCATATTGGAAAGACAGAAGTGGGTATGTTTGAGGACAAGAGACTAAAACTCCATCTGTATAACACTTTAATACACTTATCAGTATCTGAAAAAAAGAAAAAAACCCACAATCAAGGAAGAGGACAGAGTGCAAACCCGAGTTCAGAATGGATCCCCTGCACAGAGGCAGATCTCTGAAATTAGACCCATGAGCTGCAAACACTGCTGGCCCCATTCAGTGTCCTGCCCCACTCGGTACCCCTTTTCCTTGGAACACTAAACCTTAAAGCCAAAAGGTAGGTTGTCCCTTTCCTCTTTTGACTTCAACATTTTTCCTTTTTGTTAGCTTGAAATCTACATCATTTTTCTAAATTATTTTGCCTGCCTTGTTATTATTTCTAAGAAGATCTTGTTTATTTTGCATTTGATGCAAGATGAACAAGCCTGGGATGGATACACAGTGTGTTTCCAAGCCCTTGTTTACAGTACCGCTACACTTTCTATTCCCAAATCCTAAACACAAACGCCCAAGTCAAAGCCTAGGATTTTGTCCTCACCAGCCACAAATAACAGTCCCTCTTCCTTGCTCTCTCACAGTCTCTTTTCTATATGGTGCCTTAAACTCAAAAGGGAAGGGGTAGATTAGCACCTTCCTAGTCAGATTAGTTTCTTCCATTGACAAAAGAAGATCAGTTTAAACCTCCTCAAGCCACGTAAGATGTGCAACGTGGCCTCACTTTCTAGGTAAGCAGCCTAAATACGAAGCTACCTCGCAAAATGTAATTATCACCAAAACTACTGCCTCTTCTGGCTGTATTTTCAAAGAAAAGAGTAAACTCAATCAGACCACACAGCGAGCTGATCTCAGGCTGCAGAATACAGGAAGGGATTTAAGCTATGAATCCATGTCTTGTGGACATGTCTTTATTACAACTGCAACTGGTGTCCAATCCCCTGACAAGTGAGATTTCAGGGATGACTCATTCTACCTAGTAGTTGGCTTTAGTATCTCCTCACCTCCAATAACCAACCATGCTAGTTCTTGTCCCTATTCAACAGACATAGGTTCCCACTTGCTAAACCCTGATGTATCCAAGTGCATTTGGGAATCTGAACATCCCAAATTGGATTATGTTAGTGTAGAGTAAGACTGCCTCAGCAGACCTCAGAAAGGAATTGTCTAGCATATAAAGGCACTTGGTCTTCCGGAATGTGGTATGTTCTCCACGTCCACTCAGCCCTCCCACAGCAGGAGATAGAGCAGCAACATCCTTCTAGGGGAGACTTGCACTTGCGGATGATACTAGGAATTTCCAGCATCACGTGGACCACTTGTGTACTTTAGCATGATGGACACAAAAAGAGAGGCATTTCTTTCATTTTCCTCACAATGCATGTACGCATCTTGCAACGCCTAGTCCTACTCGCAAAATGCTTCAAGAGTGAAACACACTCAGTATTACGTTTTATCAGAGAAAATAAAGCATTCCATGTTCTTCCTGAAGTGGGGATGCCCAGCTTCAGAGCTATGTTTTTAGACCGTATATGATTAACAGAAACGAGTACTGGGGAATGGAAAAACATACAAGTTGGTTTTCCAACTTAACTCTTATCTGTAAAATTATTTGTACCATTTTACATAGGGACCGCCATTAGATTTGCCTCTGGGATTAGCACTGTACAAAGGCAAAGTAAAATGAGGGTCTCTGTCTCAAATGGCTTACAAAGTAAATTCAGTATTTCAAGGAATACTAGAGAACTGAGATAGCCAGGGAATACTTACTTCTACAATACCTTCCCATTTGGAAGAACAAGCCTAAATGTTATTCCCCACCCTGAGCAAAGAACAGAGCTTTTGCTCCTCCAAACAAGCTAGGAAACCACAGTAACCGTTATGTGTAGCTAAGGTCTACTGTTGCAGTGAATAGAGGCAGTTCTAATGCAAAAATACATTTTCAGAAAAAACTGTGCTCAAATTATTTTATTAAAGAAGATACATCGCCAGACCTTGTTGCAAAAAAACAGAGAAAAGAAAAAACACCCTTTCTACCTAAAGGTGCTTTCATTTAAGGAAACATGGAAGCACATATTTAGGTCCGTTAATATTCAGGTCAGTTCTCACGAACCCATCATTTCACAGCTTTCTTGACTCAGCCACACAAGGAGTTTATCATTGGGGGCGGGGGCGGAAGGAAGACAACACACCTCAGTTTTTTTGAACGCTACTATCAGTAACAACCTGTGCAAATATTTTCAGAATTAATACTCTCTCAAATGCTTCCCTACCTAATACTGAAAATGCACATTCCTACTTTTGTAAAGAGGGGAAAAAACCCCAAAAGAACCAAAGACAATTCCTGTGAAACTAGGAGTAGCTAGGGTACAAAGAGCTTTAAATGCTTACTTCTGGAGACATACCCAGAATTAAATTAACTGTCAAATGAGAGTACAGGAAGTAATTTTGATTCCATCAGTACTAGCAGAGATTTGACTTAACTGCTTCCTAGAAAAAAGGCAAACATGGATAATCTGATCAAACAGTCTGAACATGGATAATCTGATCAAACAGTCTGAAAGACAGGAGTTAAACGTGACATTTGTTTGTTCTTTCCTTGGACATCAACCACAACTTCAAATTCATCAATTCAGACTCCTTCAGGCTCTGAAGCAGTATGAAGTATTTTGAGACAATACAAATACTAAATATTTCTGAAAGACCTACCATCCACTGGAATTTCCAGATACACTGTTTAGACTTCTAGTGCTACGAAAGAAAAATATTCATGTATTAAATGCTGTTTCCAAGAACACAGTTCCATAAAGCAGACACTACAAAATCTAATCCAATTTGAGTAACAAAAAAATCTGTTTATGAGAACACATCCGGGAGGTTTCAGAAGCCTGAAGAGCTGAGCGTGTGATACGCAACTCAATCAAACGCGTGTGATCATCCAGCGTACACCAGCAGGAAAGATGACTACAACTGTCATATCACACAACATGACAGGGAAATCTGCTTAGTAAGTTATTCAACTAATGGACATGACACAGAAGAAGCAATTAGAGGCAAAGCAGAAAGTTTGTAGGTTTCAAGCAATCCCTAGTTTTCAGTTGGTGAAACTTTCTCTCCGGCCTGATGTGCAGACATTTTTTAAACTTTCTTTTTCTTCCACCTCTCAGCAAGTAGATCACCACCTTCAAATGAGTCAGTAGGAAACTGCCATGCTAAGGCAACTGATGAAGTTACAGAGGGCACTGCATGCGTATCAAGTGTTGAATACAGCAACATGATGAATGTTGCATGTTTAAAAACACGAGGCATTATCTTCAGCTTTTAACTGAGGGAGTGGTACGTGGCACTATGTGTTCTTTCTTTAAGGTTCAACAATGCTCTACAGCAACAGCTCCTATAAGGCATCTGGACTTCCCTCTCAAGAAGAAGTACTGATACTATCGGCGCATTCACCACTACCCATTTTCTGTTCCAATCTGTTTTTGCTAAGATATATTATTGGGGATGAAGAGTT